CTTCGTTAACTACGTCCGCCGTTTTGTACCCAATATGGCGGGGGTAACCAGGCCGTTAACCGATCTCCTGCATAAGGGCGTGCAGTTTCTTTGGGGGGAGAGAGAACAGCTGGCTTTCAACGAGCTGAAGAAAATTTTGAGTTCACCCCCGGTGCTTCGACTGGCAGATCCATCTCGACCGTTCGAAGTCGTGACGGACGCCAGCGATTTCGCTGTCGACGCTGTGCTACTACAGGACTTCGGCAACGGACTGCAACCCATCGCGTACGAGTCAAGAAAAATGCAGCCGCCCGAGCGCAACTACCCGGTTCACGACAAGGAAATGCTCGCCATCGTGCATGCGTTTCGAACATGGCGATGCTACCTCACGGGAGCGGATGTCACAATCCGAACTGACCACAAATCACTACAGTACATGCGCAGCCAACCACAGCTCAACCCACGACAAATCCGGTGGATCGACTACCTCGAATCGAATTTCCGCTACACCATCACATATAAAAAGGGCGCCAACAACATCGCCGACGCCCTGACGCGCCCATCCATGCAGACCGCAGCAGTACTAATCGCCCATTCCAACCCTTTATTGACAGGATTATTCAAGCACGGCTACAGGATCGACAGATTTTTAAGAACCAGTCAACACCGCGGGGTCACTACACCGCATGGAAGTTACTACCTAAAAGTCGGTACTAACCGAGTTTGGGTACCTTCCTACCGACCCCTACGCGAATTACTGACGCAAGAAGTACACGATTCCAACCTCTCCGGGCATTTCGGCGTCGACAAAACATTGAAGCTGCTACAGCGGAACTACTACTTGCCCGACATGGCGTCGGACGTGCAGCGCTATGTCTCCGCCTGCCCGACCTGCCAGGCAATGAAGTCATCGCGACAACGACCAGCTGGCTTACTGCAGCCCCTCGAGCCACCCGAACGGCCGTGGCAACAGGTGACTATGGATTTCGTCACGGGCCTTCCAGTTGGCGCAAGTGGCAACGACTCCGTGCTCGTCGTCGTTGATCGCTTAACGAAAATGGCGCATTTCGCGCCCTGCCGTACAACGACCACAGCCGAAGAAACAGCACGACTCTTCATCTCAACCGTCGTATGCCTCCACGGGTTACCTTCGGCGATCATCAGCGATCGAGATCCGAAATTCACGTCGAAATTTTGGCAAGAGACATGGGCACAGTACGGCACCCGCCTGCAATTTTCATCGTCCTACCACCCGCAAACCGACGGACAAACAGAGAGGACAAACCAAACGATGGAGCAGCTGATTCGCACGAACTGCCCGGACATCACCAAGTGGGAAGATTCTCTTCCCATGCTCGAATTTGCGTACAACAACGCCCCATCAACAACGACCAAGCAATCACCATTCTACCTGAATTACGGGATAGACCCGGTGGTACCCTCATCGACCACTCCCGACAACCCGGTACCCAGGTCACAGCAGTTTATTTCGGAACTCCAGGACGCGCGTGCCAAGGCAGCTGACTTTATCCGAAAAGCGAATTCGACCGCCAGCCTGACCAACATCGACGGAATTTACCCTTCCGCGAGGGGCAGATGGTTCTCCTGGACACAAAAAACCTCAGACTGCCCCAGCCCGCAAAACTGCGTCCTCGATACGTGGGACCTTTTCGCATCATTCGAATGCTGACACCGGTCACTGCGAAGCTTCTCCTCCCGGACGACTGGCATATCTACGACGCTTTCCACGTCAGTTTACTTCGCCACTACGTGGCACCCCAGTCCTCCGACGTCGCTCGACCCCACCAGGCGCCCAGTGTCCGACCGGTCGAAGATCCCACGCTCCAGCCCTGGAAGATATTGAATCATCGCATTCGTGCGACCCCAGCCGGCCGCCACGTCGACTTTCTACTTCGTTGGGTGGATCGCACAAGTGACGACGACACATGGGTCCCAGCTGACTCACTACAAGGGCACTCGGTACTCCGGCAGTATCTTTCTCGCTGACACGTACCTGATATTGACCACCTTTCTTGAAGGGGGGGGTAGTGTAAGGAAATTTCCTAATTCCTTACTGAGGCACCGCTTATGCGTACATTTCCAACTTTCGGAGTTCAGGCTCGGTCCGACGACCTCGCCTCCCGAACGTCCTCCGCGTCGCCTTCGGGTTTTCCCAAACCCAAACCTACACCCAACCTCGCACGACTTCGCGACCTCAGGCTTAGCTAGCCTTGCTATATTATGCCTAGGCTGTCACAACTTAAGCTAGGCTAAGGAGCCATAGCTAGTTAGAACTAGAGTTTGAGTATCGAGCAGGTTGAGTTGAAGTGAAAAATATCGAGAGGAAAGAGGGGTTTCACTATAGGTTCAAGGGTACAAATAGGCAAGAATGAAGAAAGGCAAATGGTACACCACCTAGCAGGAAACTAAGATAACTACACTAGGCTACTGTAGGCATTTATATGAAAGTATACAAATACATTTCAACACACCCCCTAAATGCTTACAGTGGAAACCCGTGTGTAGCACAAAGTCTGCAGGGGTACAAGGTGCAATGGAAGAAACAGAAACAAGCAAGAGCAGTAGTAGCTTGAAGTGTAAAACGCCCACGCTGGTCACCCACTCCATCCCCTCACCCTCCCCCTCCCCCTCCCCCTCCCCCCCACACTGCTGCAGGAGCAGCAGAGGGGGGGCAAACGGAGGAGGATGGGGCCGTAGGGCCAGGGGACCACACATCACCCCCACACCCGCCACCCCCAGTCCCTCCCCGGGCTCCCCACACTCTCACACCCTCCCCCCCAGCGGCAGCTGCAGTAGAGGGAACAAAAAGGAGGACGAGAAAGGGGGGGGGGGGGAAGGGGGGGGGAGGGGCCGACGCACGGCCTCCCCGGGCGCCAAAGCAAGCGGCAGATGGGGCGACGACTCCCCCCCCCTTTCAGGTCGCGCGGCCCCCTCAGGAGCCGTGACAGGTGACGGGAAGAAGGGGGGGAGCGGGACCGCAAGTGGGCGGGGCCGAAGTGAGCGACGGGGCCGCAAGGGTGGGCGGGGCCGCAGGTGGCGACGGGGCCACAGTTGGCGGGGCCGCAGGTGACATCGGGGCCGGGGCCGAGGGCGACGGGGCCGCAACAGAGGGCGGCGGGGCCGCAAATGTGGGCGGCGACGGGCCGCAGGTGAGAGTGGCGACGGGGCCGCAGTGAAGGGCGGCGAGGCCGCGACGTAGGGCGGCGGGGCCGCAGGAGTAGGGCGGCGGGGCCGCGAAGTGGGGCGGCGGGGCCGCGGGAGAAGGGTGGCGGAGCCGCGACCGTAGGTGGCGGGGCCGCAAAGGTAGATGCGGGGCCGCGTCCGTAGGTGGCGGGGCCGCGAATGAAAGGGCAGCGAGGCCGCAGTAGCAGGGCGGCGGGGCCGCGATAGCAGGGCGGCGGGGCCGCTAAGAAAGGGCGGCGGGGCCGCGAAGCGTAGGGCGGCGGGGCCACTTAAGTAGGGCAGCGGGGCCGCAACAGTAGGGCACACCACGGGGCATGCAGTACACTTAGTAGCAGCGGAAGCAGGAGTCCAGGAGCGTTACGTGCTCTGTACCATGTCACAACTTAAGCTAGGCTAAGGAGCCATAGCTAGTTAGAACTAGAGTTTGAGTATCGAGCAGGTTGAGTTGAAGTGAAAAATATCGAGAGGAAAGAGGGGTTTCACTATAGGTTCAAGGGTACAAATAGGCAAGAATGAAGAAAGGCAAATGGTACACCACCTAGCAGGAAACTAAGATAACTACACTAGGCTACTGTAGGCATTTATATGAAAGTATACAAATACATTTCAACATAGGCCCCGATGGTTGCTCAGTAGTTGTAATCACTTCCGCGATATTGCATTCTGCGCACTCTTCTTTCATACAACTCATAACAGTTTCAAACTTTCAGTTACGGTATACAGCTGAGAGCTGGTTCATATTGGAAAGGGCCTCGGTTTTGGTAAATATAATACTACTGTAGCACTGCATTTGGGAAATCACCGAGGGACAACAGAGCTTCAGAGGTGCAAGTGTCAGGGTGCGCCAATCCCCAGGTTCCTCCCGCATCTCTCCCCTGCTAGGTCTGGTCATCGCTGAGCAAAATCCTGTATCTCGTTCCAAAATCCGGAATCCAACCCTTCATTCATCCGAGCTCTGAGCTTCTCCTCTCCAGCCCTTGCGTAGCATGAGCCAAATGTCAGAATATGCTGATCGTTCGTTGGTTATTGAGTTGTACCTTCGAAGCTCGCAGCTTGTGTTCTCCAGTTAGCAGGATGACGAAAGCAACAGGAACCACGCAGGGAAGAAGTAGGAGATCCGCCAGCGTCGCTTATTCCGAGAGTCTTGAACGAGTGTCAGGAGTCAGTTAGCTTTTCCATAGAAACAGTTTGCTTTTCCTCCAGTGTGCTCGCCAACACCGAAACGGACTCTCGCCGGCATTTCTTGATTTCATTTGACCTGCTCTCCTCAGCCAGAAAGCTGACAGCCCTGGCGACACGGTGCTTCGCTTCGTCAAGACGTTTCTGGGCGTGCTGGTCGCGGAGGGCAGCGAGGACGCGCGGGAGATGATGGAGGAGCTGCTGTGTCTCTTCTCGCAGTACAGCGACGCGCGCAGCAAGGCCGTCAGGGTCAACGTCACTAGAGTGCCCTCGGAGGTATGCCACACTCTCCCTTTCCGCTCCAGATGCGCTCGCAGAACTTATTATCGTCTTATCCCAAACGTTTTAGGTCTTATTCTAAACGCATCAGGTCTTAACCCAAGCGTTTAGGTCTTGTTCCATGCGTGTCATGTGATTACAAGCGCTTGTACCCCTCGCAGGCGCTGAATTCGTTTAGCCCGGCAGCTTCTGTCTGTCCGCGAGTTCTCGGCAGGACTACCTGGCGCTGCTGGAAACGCACATGACTAATACTTACAGGCTATTTGCACCGACGACGGGTATATTTTACGCAGGCGCCATGCTAATACTTGCTTGTAGCTCTCGCAGGGTCGGAGGGTCGGTTCGCGGCGCGGCAGCTGATGCAGCTGACGGCGGTGCTCCACTTCACTGACGCCACCATCCGCGCGCACGACGCCGCGCTCGTGCACCGCCACCTCGTCGGCGCGCAGCCAGCGCTCGCAGGGGCGGTGGAGGCTCTGCTGGGGCTGGCGCAGCGCGTGCACGCCTCGGATGCTGACGTGCTCGCAGCTCTCGTGGACGCTCTGGCTGACGTCAGGCTCTGCTGCGGCTGTGCTGCAAATCGGCAGGCGGCGGCACGTTCAGGGCGTGGAGGAACCTGCGCGTGGAGCCGCAGGAGGCGCTCAACTGCATCCTCGTCCCCGCGGTACGCGCGCACGCTGCCCTCACGGCCTCACTCCGCTTGCCCTCAAGCATTCGCCAGCACGGTGGTCTGCGGGCATTCGCTGCCCCGCGCCCGTGCCTGCATTCGTTAACCGTCACCCGTATGCTCAAGCATTATCCTCCCCTGTCCCCCTCCCCCTCACGATCTGTGCCGGCAGGCGGCGCATCCGTCGCCTCTGGTGCGCGCGGAGTCCATCGCCGTGCTCCAAGCCTTCGCCTCGCTGCATGCGCCGTCCACGCGCTCCCACCTCCCCCTGCTGCACGCCGCCGCGCGCGAGTCCGCGCACCGCGGCGTGCAGATGGTGGCCGTGCGCGCCCTGGCGGACCTTCTCGCACCGCTCCGCCCCGCTCTGGCACCGTTCCGCCGCGCTGCTGCCCGACGTCGCTGCGCCGGGCCTCAGCGACGAGGGCGAGGGGAGTGCGGTGAGCGGATGCAGTGCCGGGGGAGAGGCGCAGCGCGCAGCAGGGGCGCGTGGGGGAGGGCGAGCGGCTGCGGAGGGGAGCGTGGACGTATTGCTGGGGCTGGTGCCGCTGACGGGCTGGCAGGTGGACGTTGAGGCCGTCAAGGAGGACGTGCAGCGCATAGGACGACAGGTGGAGGGGGAGGACGAGGGGGAAGCGGAGGGCGTGGTGGGCGTGGTGGGCAAGGTGCGCGGTGGGCGTGCTGTGCGAGGGGCTGTGCAAGCTGCTGCTGGCGGTCGCGTGCGGGGGCGAGGGGAGGGGCGCTGAGCGCGGAGCGGAGGACAGGGTGGAGCGAGTGGTGCAGGTGTACATGTGCAGGTGTACCTGTGCAGGTGTACCTGTGCCCGGGCGCTGCTGAAGACGAGGTGCCCAGGTGCGTGGAGGCGCGTCTCTGTGCGTGTCTCTGGAAACGATTGTCTCGCCACGTTTCCTCTTGCTTGCATTTTTTCTGCTGTGTGTGATCCGTAAGCCGTCCTTCCCTCGTCATCTCCCCACACCCCCCTCTTCCCTCACTCGTGCCTCACAGGACACGTCAAATGCTAGCAGAGCCGTTCAACCGCCGTGGCCGTGCTGCCAGTCTGCAAGGCACACCACCCATGCCACCCACCCCAATCTAGCATCCAACTACTGCCTTTTCTGGTGGCATCATTTTCTTTGACAGTCTTTCGCTGTGGCACCTCACTCCTCCCTCACTCACTCTTCCCCGTTCGCCCCCTCTCCCCGAGTCCCTCCCTGTCATCCCTGTGCAGGTGGCAGCGTCGCGGTTACTGCTGCCAGTGCTGCTGCATTTGTGGCTGCACAAGGCGGCAGCAGCAGCGAGGCAGCCTGCAGTGCGTGCCTCGCAGCTGCTGCTCTCCGTCATGCTCGCGCATGGCGCCCACGGGCTTGTGGAGGTGCCACTCAGAGCCTCCCAGCAGGACGACGTCAAATGCCTTGGCATCGTTGCTCATTGACAACCTCGTTCAGCCGCCGCCCTCGCCCTTGCCTGCCGCCATGCCCGGTGCCAGGCACAGGCGCTTCGTGCTCGAGGATGGGAGTGAGAGTGGGGGCGATTTTGAGGGTGAGGGTGAGAGTGCGAGAATGAGTATGAGAGTGAGAGTGAGAGATAGAACTGAGGTGAGAGTGCAGGTGGGAGTTGCACACGGGCGGTAAGAGGGCGCGCTAGGGTGCAGACGGCTGGTGGATTGAGAATAAGCTTGGAGCGGTGAGGGGGCGGCGGGCAAGGGTGCTGAATTGGCAGTGGGGGCAGAGAGGCGGCAGCCTCTGCCGCGTCGCACTGCCTCTGCCGCGTCGCACTGCCTCTGGCACGTAGCACTGTGCTGCAGCAGCTGCAACGACATGAGGAGGGGGCTGACAAATTTTGCTCCACTGTCCATTGATGCGCTGCAGAACTGCAGTGACAGGAGGGGGCGGACATATTGTTCTCCACTGCCAGGGCGGACAAATTGTTCTCCACTGCCCAGTGATGCGCTGCAGCAGTTGCAGTGACAGCAGGAGGCGGCCAACATGTGCTACATTGCTCGACAGGCCACTGCTTGGTGCTGCGCTGCGCAGCATATCTACTTGTTGATCTACCCCAGAGCTCAATCTTGAGCTCCACATTTTGCTACAGCTTTAAGTGTATGTTTATCATAGTGCTTAGAGATACGGCAACATGTTGGTGCAGTTTGGCTGATCGTTGAACAATGACTGCATTCGTTATTTCTTGGAGATTCACTTGGTTAGATGGCAAACACTGGAGCAGTTAAACTTGGTTGAAACACTCTCTGTCTAGCTTATAAAAGCCATTTTAAACAATGGGATGATGAAGTCATGGTGAGAATATGCACTTGTTACCTATATTATAATTTTTAAAAGTGTAACACTTTTTCAAATTTCGTATTGTGAAAGCGAGGACGTGGCCAGCAAAGCTAAGGTAGCGGCTTGACGCTAGTTCTAGTTTACTTTCCTAGTTCTCGTTCATCCTGGCGAAGACGCAATCTCTCCCGAGGTTCAAGTTCCCGTCGACCCTTCTCACAGACATTCTCCAACACAACCTGGCGAATATGGCTCCCGCCAACACTGTACTTAATCGAGAGGCGGAAAAGACCAACAACCCCGGAAACGCTTCGGAGCACGCGAACGCGCCGGGGGGCAAACGACCGCCGCGGAAAACGCCCTGCCGAAGACAATTTCGGCGAGGGCACTTCAGGAGTCGAAGTGTTGCTCGGGAGCAACTCTCGAGCCCCCTCCGAAGAAGCACGCGCGGCTGTGAAACAGTCGCGCGTGCCTCCTGCTGACGAGCGTGTAGCCGCCAGGCAGCCGCGCGCGCCAGTCAAGTCAACGCCGGCTGACGCGGACGGCGACGCTGGTCAGCCGGGGCCCACCCTGCAGAAGCGACAGAAGGCAGCGACCCCAGCAGAAGCCGCCCCAGTCAACCCCCTCGCGTCCCTCACTGCGCAGCAGATGCAGGCACTGCTTTCGATGTTACAGCAGCAAGCCCCAGTAACAATCGCAACTTCTTCCGACTAAAATTCTGCACCTGCAAAAATCGAAAATCAGAAAGAAGTCAACGCTCCCCGCGTAAACAAGGCTGCTCGCGTCAATGAGACCACTGCCGCACCTCTTCCCGCTCCCGTACCGGCACCAATCGCCGCTCAAGCCGACAGCGACGACTCAGACAACGATGATGGTGAGGCCCCCAATAACATCACCCGTCGTCGCGTTATTGCACCAGCACCTTCTCTTCCACCCCTCAACCCCACACCCGCACCTACCACCTTCATGCGCAAGGGCGTGCGCGATCAGGCGGAGGTTTTCTCTGCTATCCAGGCACACCTGAAGCACGTCAATTTCAAGCTCCAGCACGGCGACATCGAAAGCGCACTCGCCAACGTTGCGGAAATCGAAACGCTCATCCACAAGCGCTTCGAAGTCCTCTTGGTGGCGGACGAGGCGGGATTCGAGGCTGCCGATCGTTTTCAGCTATACCAGTCCAAGAGCGTGTTAACCTCCCGCTCTTACAAGCTCGCCGTTGCGGATGTGGCGGCTCTCAAGCGTGCACGCGCCGGCTACACTCGCGGTAATCGCATGCCTACCCGAGATGGCGACACGGAAGGCAAGGGCATGCCTCCCGCAAGCTGCCACGAGCCCCGCTTCAAAGGGGTGTGCTTCCGATGCGGCCAGCCCGGCCATATGGCAAATGCTTGCCCTATGGGAGGGCGGGGCGCTCAAGGCCCCTCACCCGTCGTGTGAGGAGGCACACGGGGCGGAGCCCCTTGCCACTATGCCGGGGGGCGTAGGTGGAGCACCGAGGGTGCATGGCTGGTAGCTAGCAGGGAGTATGGGCTGGAGGCCTTAGAAATCCCTAGCCATAAGGGTAGCTATGGGGGCAGTACATGCTATGTACCCATGTGTGGTAATAAAAGTTTGCCTCTGGTTTTCAAAAAAAAAAAAAAAAAAACACCCACACATGCAACCAAACAAAGTGGGAGAGAAGGAAGTAAAGCCAAGGCAGCCATTCCAGCCCAAGCGCCCCCCTGACTTGAAGGGAAGAGTACGAAGGAAAGAGGAAGAAAACGAGATGGAAGGAAAACGTGCGAATACGGGGCAGAGTTCGAGAAGAAGAGCAAATGGAAAGATCGGAAGAGGAGTGAGCAAGAGAACGAGAGAGCGAGCGAGAGAGAGAGAGAACGCAAGGAAGAGAAAGGGAGAGAGAGAAAGAGAGAGAGAGAGAGGGAGAGGGAGGGAAAGAGAGCGAGAGAGAGCGAGAGAGAGCAAGAGCGAGAGAGAGAGAGCGAGAGCGAGAGAGTGAGAGCGAGAGAGAGTGTGAGAGAGAGAGAGAGAGAGAGAGAGAGAGAGAGAGAGAGAGAGAGAGAGAGAAAGAGAGTGAGAGCAAGAAACATGGAGAAAGGAAGACTAGAGGAGGGAGGATACAAGGAGAGACGGAAGGCGTAGCACCGAGTATGCATAAGCCCCCGGGCTGGTCCTATGGGCAAAGGCTAATCACCCAATACACCACACCCCGGTTGCCCCACGTGCAGTAGCGGACGACAAGTGGCGAGAGGCGGAATGGGACCCATACGAGAACGCGGTCACAGATGACACAGTGAAGGTCATGCGCAACCGATTGCGTAACCAACTGCATTGGTGGATATCGTGGTGCGACAGCAGTTTTATCATCTCTATTATTGCCAGGGGATATTGGCTGCCTTGGAAAACTACAGAACCGCCACCCTTCGAAACCACAAACCACGCGGGTGTTCATGCACACACCACGTTCACTCGTGAGGCCATTCGCGACTTAATCACATCGGGCGCGGCAACCAAGGTCGCCTCGCGGACTGCGCTCTCGTGCGTGAGCCCACTCAACGTGGTAGAACAACGCGACAAATGTCGCCTCATCCTCGACCTACGCAAAGTCAACCAACACCTCCAAGTCACTAAATTCAAATACGAGGGCCTGAATCGCGTTTCGGAGATCATTCGACGCAACGACTGGCTGTTCACCATTGACCTAAAATCGGGCTACCACCATGTCGAGATGCACCCTTCGTGCTGGAAGTTCCTAGGCTTCCAATTCGAAGGCGAGTTCTACTACTTCCGAGCCTTGCCGTTTGGACTGGCGACAGCACCTTTCGTCTTCACCCAGTTGATAAAGCAATTGGCCAAACGCTGGCGGGCGCGGGGCGTGCGCGTAGTCCCATATGTGGACGACCTGCTATTCCTCTGCGACTCGGCGGAGCACGCACGCAAGACATGCACAGAGGTTCTCCGAGACCTGGGGGCGGCAGGTTTCGTGATCAACGAAAAGAAATCACGCCTCCAGCCGGCCCATCAAACACGATTTCTGGGGATGGAGCTGGACACGACATGCGGCATGTTTAGCATCGGCTCCGATCGGCGAGCGCAGTTCCTCGACAAGCTGCACACACTCATCTCCAAGGGGCAACGCGGCCAGCAAGTCCCAATTCGGGAAGTCGCTCGTATCACCGGAATGTTGAGCTCTATGTCCCTCGCATTGGGCACAACAGCACGCGCCTTCAGCCACGAGCTGCTACAATTGATCGAGACAGCGGCATCCTGGAACTCAAGGATCGGGCTGACACGGGCCGCCATCGAGGAGCTAATCTTCTGGCAACTGCACTTCGACCAGTTTAACGGTGCCCCATTTCACCTAAGCCATCAATTCGATGCTGTGATCCACGCCGACGCGAGCGCTCACAGCTGGGGCGCCACCCTCACCAAGTTTACCGACGCGTCGTACGAAGCAAGCGCCAGCATGCCGAGCGAGCTCCTCCCAACCTCAAGCACTCAAAGGGAGCTCGAGGGTGTCCTCTGGGCGCTACAGACATTTGCGTCCCATCTCACAGGCGGCCACGTTTTGGTTCGCGTGGACAACCAAGGAGTCATGTTTATCTTGCGCAAAGGGGGGTCCAGTCAACCTCGGCTCACACTGACTTGTCAAGCAGTCATACAGTTTTGCCTTAAGAACCATACACGTCTGGCAATCGAATGGATCCCAAGGGAGCTCAACGCCCACGCGGACGAACTGTCAAAACTCCAAGACCATGACGACTACTCGCTGCACATGCCATGGTTTCGCCTACTGGAACGTCGATGGGGCCCCCATACGATCGACCTTTTCGCGAACATTAGCAACAGGAGGCTGCAACGATTCTGCTCCAAGATACCGCACCCAAGTGCCACAGCAATTGACGCGTTCTCGATCTCGTGGAAAGGCGAGCGGTGCTTCACCTTTCCGCCCCCCGGCTTGATCCCAGCCACACTCTCTCACGCCAGGCGCACACAAGCCGAGTTGACACTCGTCGTCCCCAAGTGGCCGGGAGCAGCATGGTGGCCGTTGCTACAACCCTCCCCAGAGACATGGGCCCCAGAAGTGATCGCATGCTTGCCACTCGCTCAAGGCAGCCAGTGCCTTCGACCTGGTTCGCATGCAACAGCATTTTCCGGA